ATTTATATATTTATATATTTATTTATTTATAATAATGTATTATTGTTTTATATTATATACTGTAATTATTTATATATTTATTCATATATTTATTTATATATTTGTTTGTATATTTTTTGTATATTTATTAATATATTTATTTGTATATGTATTTATATATATTTATATGTTTATATATTTATTTATAAAATTATTTAAATTTTTTTATATTTTGTTTGTATATTTATTTATATATATATATTTATATATATTAATACGTTCATATATTTATTTATATATTTATATATATATTCATATATATATTCATATGTATATTTATATATATATTAATAAGTTCATATATTTTTTTATATATTTATTTGTATATACTGTATTATTATATATATATATAGTAATTATTCATATATTCATTTACATATTATTTAAAAAAATATATGAACATATTAATATATATAAATATATAAATAAATATACAAATATATAAAAAAATTAAATAATTATATAAATAAATATATAAACATAAATATATAAATATATATAAATACATATATAAATACATATATATATAAATAAATATACAAATAAATATATAACACATATATAAATATATATAGGCCTATAAATAAATATATAAATAATTACAGTATATATAAAATAATAATACAGTATATATAATATAATATATAAAAAAGTATATGTACTGCGCATGACTGGACTACACAGGCAAAGCTCCCTAGTGTGTTATTTATTTGAATCTACTAGGCGAAAGAATAGGCTAGGCCTACGTGTTTGCAAAACTGGATAACCTGAAAAAAAAAAAAAATTAAATGTATGGCTCGCATGGCTCGCTGACTCGCACATTGGCTCGCATGACTCGCTGGCTCGCACTTTGGCACTACTCTGTGAGCTTCTTTTTTACAATAAGATATACCCAAATATACTTTTATAACATGGCCATCCATGAGAACAAATGGAAAGCGGCACGTCAATTATTTTTTTAATAAAGCAACTCAGCACCCACTGAAATCTCCAAAATGTTTATAAGCGCCGTGGCGCTTACTCAAGGATTACGCTTAAATGTCAACACTCTTTATAAGAAGCTAGCCTAGGTTAGGCCAGGTAGGCCTAGGCTTATGCTAACTTAGGCTAATAGGCAGCCTGGCCTACTACCTAGGTAGGCTAGGCCCTAGCTATAGGCCTAGCCTAGGCCTAGTCCTAGTAGCAGTAGTATAGTGTAGGCCTGGTGACAATAACTCATTAAATTGCTTCCTATGTATCACCTATATTTGGCTAGGCACAGATGGCAAAGACATCAGGTCCAAGCCTGGGCCCCTAGGCCTAGGCAAGGTAGGCCTAACAGGCCTATATGCCCCTAGACTAGGCCTAGGCTATCCATTTCTAGGCCTATCTATGGCCTAGGCCTGGGAGACTTACTTGAGCATACACGTTCACATCTTGGGACAAATTCTGTGTTGGTTCTATAGCTTTTTTAAGTGTTGAGCAACTCGGTTCGTTGGAAGCATCATCGGTCTTCTCCATTTTGTAGTTTTCTACAGAAACTTTTGACTACTAAACAGAGATATTACCGTGTTTTGTCAACAAATCATTTGGATTCGACTTCTCTTCCTATCCCCTCTCGATCCTGCACATGTCATTTTGTTTAGACTATTCTATTATCTTAATGGGGATGGTGTTTGATGCAGTTCATCAGTACTATTATTATGCCAAAGCAATAGTCGGGTAGGAACGGGGTTCCTATGCACCCTAAGGATATATAATTTTTTAACTAACATTTTTTTTAATCCTCAAAGTGTTTCATGAAAGAATTTTGATGTTCCCATAAAAAAAAAATGTCCCATGGGGTTGTTGCTGGCTATTTTGGCGGCCATCTTGAATTTTCAACGAAAATCATTGATTTTTATAATTCATTGACTAAAAACCATATAAATCAAATAAACCTCTAAATGTGCATAGTAAGCAGTGTTATGTTCTTAATACAAAAAGACTGACCTCGCATTTACATTTGACGGCCATATTGGCGGCCATTTTGTATTTTGAATAAAAATCATTATTTGTATATATCAATAACTAAAAATCATATTTAATCAAGTGAACCTCTAAACAGTAAGCAGTGTTTATGCTCTCAATACAAAACACTGACTTCCCAAAACATTTGGCGGCCATATCGGCAGCCAATTTCGGTGGCCATCTTGGATTTTCAATGAAAATCATTAATTTGTATAATTTATTAACATAATCATAAAAAATCAAGTGAACATCTAAATGTATATAGTATTAAAGCAGTGTTTAAGTTCTCAATACAAAACCTTGACTTCCCAATACATTTGAGGGCCATGATGGTGGCCATCTTGGATTAAAACAAAAAATTAATTGAATGTATTCCGTAATTTATTAACTAAAAATCACATAAAATCAAATGTATACAGTAAGCATTGTTTTAATTATATTCTAAATACAAAACATTAGCAATATATTTTTTTGAATTTTGAATGTTCAATGAAACTTGATTATTGGTATAACATTTGACCTATATATCATACAAAAAAATAAGTAACCAATGTTTTTAGAGTTTTGAATTGATTGAGATTGCAGTACACTACATTTTCCCCCAACTAACTTTGAACTACAAATTCAGACGGTCTGGGGATTCGTGAGGATATTCGCAATAGTGGTTTTTGAGCTGGTAGGACTATTTGACCTTTGTCAACCGGTTCACTCACTCCGGGGTTTTCGACCACCATTGGAGTTTTAGAGAGTGTGGAACTTTGCGTTGGCAAAGCTAACTCAGGGTGTGTTACCACATGGATCCCGCTGCTTTTCATATGAACTTCCCTTGAAGTGTACCCACTTACGTCATTGACAGGAACACTTATGGAACGCCAAAAGGACAAAATACATAAATACATAAAGGTCACAGTACTTTGTTGGCCCGACGTCGGTAAACGTAAGTGGAGGTTGGTGACAACAGTTGTGCCGACTTTGGTTAGAAGTTGTAAATTTCAAACGTTTACCGACGTCGGGCCAACAGAGTACTGTGATGTTGCGACAACGTCTATAATCATACATAATATTTACAACCTCTAAGAAACGTCGGACCAACAGTGGTACCCAACATCTATTTCAAACGTTTACTGATGTCGGGCCAACAAGGTACTTTGACGTTCCGACAACGTCTAGAATTATATATATTATGGAGGTTGGTTACAACCGTTTGGCCGACGTTGGTTAGAGGTTGTAAATATTAGGATGTGATTATAGACGTTGTCGCAACGTCAGAGTACTTTATTGGCCCGACGTTGGTAAACGTTAGTGAAGGTTGGTTACTGTAAATGTCGTAGCCTTGGACACCGCCCTTTATTATGTGGAATACCGATGTTGGAAATGAGGATACTAGAGTGTGGAAATAAAGCATGCGAGTAAACGTTATACCGTAGTCAGTTGCGTACGTTATTAACCGTTCTTACTTGAGTAAACAGACACTCCACAAACATCACATTGGCGACGAAGACATAAGTGATATCCATAGAACCCACCTACCAACTCCACTGACCTGTAAGTACGTTACAGCTAAAGTTTTAGCTCAATTAAACAACACACATCCACCGTATCCGATAAAATGGCTGTCTCCACGGTACCGTCTCCAACGTGACCTCGGCGGCGTTCACAATCCCTGCACCGCCCCCACTGGACATGTCGTCCAGCAACTTACATGAGGCTTGGAGAAAGTTTCGACAGCGTTTCGAAAACTTTGAACTGGCGACAGGGATCAATGAAAAAAAGATCCACAACGAGTTGCTACACTCCTTTCTATCGTTGGCCAGTCAGCCCTTGATGTATATAACAGTTTTGTTTGGGAAGATTCAGGAGATAAATCAAAGATTGGCAAAGTAATTCAACAATTTGAAACTCATTGCATAGGCAGGAGGAACATCACTTACGAACGATATGTATTCAATAGTAGATCCCGCAAAACAGGGAAAAGCATTGATGCCTATGTAACAACCCTATGCAACCTTTCCGACTCCTTGGCGAGCTCAGGCCTAGCCTCATCCGCGACCGCATTGTCATGGGTGTAGATGATTCACGTATGACACAACGCCTTTGCGTACGGATAATCTCAACCTAGAGAAGGCCATTGACATAATTGTGCCAACGACACCGCAGCAGCTCAACTTGCGAAGATATCGGAAACTGACACGCAACACTATGCACGAGCTGTGATCAGGAAACCAAACAAGGGTGCCACATACAACAAACAACAAACATCTAGATACCAACCACCCCGTCAGAATATACCGGCAGTAGATCGTAAACAAGCCAAACAACCTCCAGCTGTGTGTTATCACTGTGGTGGAGATTATCCGCATCCCAAGCAGTGCCTGGCGTTTGGTAAAGTCTGCACCTACTGCCAAAAGAAAAACCACTTTGCAAGTCAATGTCGGACAAAAGCACGCAATCGAGAACGCACAAATGCAATCATAGACGCTGCACCCAGCGATAGTGATTCAAGTGAAGAATACGCATATGTCCTCAAAGCTAGCACCCCCGACTCACAAGAGAAACAACCACATGTTGAAATACTAATCAATAATGACAAAATCAAAGTAATGATAGATACAGGCGCGTCGGTAAACGTCATGAGTGAGGAACACTACAAAATTGACAACAAAACTGCAATTACAGCACACTAACACAAGATCTTTGCATATGGTGCTAAGAAACAACTTGATACACTTGGGAAAATTCATGTAACCATCCACTGTAATGGTCATCATATCCCTGACACTTTCTACATTGTGCGGTTTGTGAAGGAGTCTCTGTTGTGTTTCACGAGTGCCCAGAGACTCCACGTAATTGACATACATGTTGCGTTGAGTGTTGATGCAGACGATACAGTTGAAGAACTCATCGAAAGCTACAGTGATCGTTTTACCGGGCTACGCAAACTTACAGATTCTAAGTGCAAACTTCACGTTGACACAGACGTACAACCAGTAACACAACCACATAGACGAATACCATTCCAAGTAAGAAAAAAGGTAGAAGCAGAACTAAAACGCCTCCAAGACTTGGATGTCATTGAAAAGGTGGTTGATAAGCCAACACCATGGGTTTCACCCATCACTGCTGTAAAAAAGCCTAAAAATCCAAACGAAATCAGACTCTGCATAGACATGAGAGCTCCTAACAAAGCTATCCAGCGAGAACGCCATGTCACGCCAACAATTGACGACATCATTGCCAGCCTCAACGGTGCAACAGTATTTACTAAACTTGATCTAAAGAATGGGTATCATCAAATAGAGCTAGATGATGCATCAGGTTCCTGACTGTATTTTCAACGCACGTTGGTCTGTTCCAGTTTAAACGCCTAAACTTTGGGGTAAACAGTGCAGCCGAACAATTTCAAAATCTCATCCAGTCTGCGCTAGCTGGTCTCCCTGGTGTGATCAACCTATCAGATGACATCCTGGTGTATGGCATAAACTCAGTGGAACATAAGGAACATCTTAAAATCTGTCTTCAGAGGCTGAGGGAGAAGAACTTGACTCTAAACCAAGGAAAATGTGAATTCAACAAAGAAACTGTTGAGTTCTTTGGGCATGTGTTTCATTCAGGTGGCATCTCCCCAAGTCCAGACAAAGTTAAGGCGTTGCAAAATGCAACACCACCAACCAATAAAGAAGAGGTTCGAGGCCTGCTAGGACTTGCTACTTATTGTTCACGCTTCATACCTAATCTGGCAACACTCACAGAACCACTCAGAGTGCTTACCAAAGCTGATTCAGAATTGATGTGGGAAGAACCACATGCAGTCGCCCTTCAAGCAGTCAAAGACTCCATCACAGAACATTGTAATCTAGCATATTTTAACCAGCAACTCCACACAGAGGTAATAGTTGATGCCAGTCCAGTAGGCCTTTGTGCAATGTTAGCTCAACAGGATAGTGATAAAACAGTCTTGGTAGCACTGGCCAGCAGATCATTGACACAAGTAGAACAACACTACTCACAAACTGAACGGGAAGCCTTGGCCGTTACATGGGGAATAAAACACTTCCACATGTATCTGTACGGAGGAAAATTCGAGGTTGTTACAGATCACAAACCGCTGCTCCATCTCTTCAACAACGCCACTTCCAAACCACCACTGCGCATAGAACGCTGGCTCATGAGACTACAAGAATACGACTACACCTTAAAATACCAACCAGGAAAATTCAATCCAGCGAACTATATATCTCGCCACCTATTGCCAACGACGAATGAATACAGCAGAGAGGAACGAATGGCAGAAGAGTATGTTAATCCCACACTATCAAACGCAATTCCAAGATCCCTCACTATTGAAGAGATAGAACACGAAACCGCAAAAGACAAAACGCTACAATTATGTATATCGGCCATAAAAACCAACAAGTGGCACACCATTCAACAGCAAGCATCAGGGACTACCAAAAAAGACATCGACTCTCTTTTCAAACTCAGAGACCCAACTCAGTCTTAGTGTCAAAAACGACATACTGCTGCGTGATCATCGCATTGTAATTCCCAAATCATTACAACAAAGAGCAGTCGATATCGCGCATGAAGGCCACCAGGGAGTAATTAAGACCAAACAACTCATGCGGATGAAAGTCTGGTTCCCTGGCCTTGATCATATAGTTGAAGAAACCATAGCTTCATGTCTCCCGTGTCATGCATCAACTCTCGAGAAGAACGCCTTTGCACCACTAAGTATGTCTAAACTCCCACAAGGAGCCTGGCAAGAGTTAAGCGTTGACTTTAATGAATTGCCAACGGGAGAATATTTGATGGTAGTAATCGATGATTATAGCAGGTTTCCTGTCATAGAAGTCACGAAATCAACATCAGCCAAAAGTGTGATCCCAAAACTTGACACCATTTTTGCTACCTACGGCATTCCAGTAACTGTTCGAACAGACAATGGCCCGCCGTTCAACGGAGGAGTGTTCTCACAATTTGCACAATACTCTGGCTTTAAGCACCGAAAGGTCACACCACTTTGGCCACGTGCAAATGGTGAAGTAGAAAGGATGATGCAGAACCTCAAGAAACTCTACCGTACTTCCACAGCAGAACAACAGAACTGGCGGAAAGCATTGAACAAATACTTGAGAAACCATAGGGCAACACCACATAGTTCAACTGGGATGCCACCATCTACGCTGATGTTTGGCAGAGAGATACGCACATGGCTGCCTGAGATACCACGCAGTTCCACAAATGACAAAACTCTCCGTCTACATGACAAAAAGGCAAAATCCACGATGAAACTGAACGCAGAAAGAAACAAACGCTTCAAAAACAAAACTTTTCATGAAGGAGATGTGGTTCTATGCAAGAGAGATGGAAGCTTACGCAGCCATGAAACACCTTATCATACACAACCTTACACGGTCACAAAAGTCAATGGCACCATGATATCAGCATACAATGGAAATCACACAATCACCAGGAATTCATCGTTTTTCAAAAAGGCTGACCGACTCAAGAGTAAAAGCTACAATCAACAGCTTCAGCTCGATAGTGACTATGACGATGAACCAACCCCGGCACCTCAGTTTGCCCCAGCACCTCAAACACCAGATAGGCAACGACCAAAGAGAAGCATCAGATTTTCAAGCCGACTAAAAGACTATGTTATGTAACTGATTTGAGAAATGGAACTTTAGAAAATTTTGTTGGTTATGGTGTTGAGAATAGTTTAAACGTTAAAAAATAAATAAATAAATAAGAATAAAAAACCCATAGTAACAACTTAGCAAAGCAAGGTACTTATGCTACAAATTAAGGTGGTCTTCTAACTAACTAAAATAAATAATACATCTTAATACTGCTCTAATGTACAATACAAAGTCTACCAAATAGACTGACGTTAATTCCATTTAAGGGGGAGAGTTATGTAATGTCGTAGCCTTGGACACCGCCCTCTATTATGTGGAATACCGATGTTGGAAATGAGGATGCTAGAGTGTGGAAATAAAGCATGCGAGTAAACGTTATACCGTAGTCAGTTGTGTACGTTATTAACCGTTCTAACTTAAGTAAACAGACACTCCACAAACATCACAGTTACAACCGTTGGGCAGACGTTGGTTAGAGGTTTTAAATATTAGATGTATTAAAGACGTTGTAAAAACGTCATAGTACTTTGTTGGCCCGACGTCGGTAAACGTTTCAAATACACGTTGGTTACCACCGTTGGGCCGACGTTGGCCAGAGGTTGTAAATATTAAATGTGATTACTGACCTTGTCTCAACGTCACAGAACGCTGTTGGCCCAACGTCGGTAAACGTTTGGAATGGAGGTTGGTTACAACTGTTGGTCCGACGTTGGTTAGAGGTTGTAAATATTAGGATGTGATTATAGACGTTGTCGCAACGTCAGAGTACTTTGTTGGCCCGACGTCGGTAAACGTTAGTGAAGGTTGGTTACAACCGTTGGGCCGACGTTGGTTGGAGGTTGTAAATATTAGATGTAATTAAAGACGTCACAACGTGACGTGAAATATTAGGATGTGATTATAGACTTTTCCCAAGGTCACAGTACTTTGTTGGCCCGACGTTGGTAAACGTTAGTGGAGGTTGGTGACAACAGGTGTGCCGACATTGGTAAGAGTTTGTAATAAATATTAAGGTGTGATTATAGACGTTGTCACAACGTCACGGTACTTTCTTGGCCCGACGTCGGTAAACGTTAGTGGAGGTTGGTGACAACAGTTGGGCTGACGTTGGTTAGAGGTTGTAAAATTCAAACGTTTACCGATGTCGGGCCAAAAAAAAAGAAGAAAAAAATTGGTTCGTGTGGGAATCGAACACACAACCACCAGGTTTTGCTATTCATTATCCACCATCAACTAAACTGCCTTAAAAAAAAATTGGTTCGTGTGGGAATTGAACATACAACCACCAGGTTTCCCGTAACATGATTAGTCAATTTTTTTCCTAATTTGCATAATGAATTTTTCATAACATTTTTGTCTATTTAAAAAAAAGCTCCTAAGTTATGGAGATGGTAACAATCAAAAATCGATTATAAATTTAATTCTACATTTTTAGACAAAAAACAAACCCTCTTTGCCCACGGCCCATTTTTGAGACCATGACCATGCGTAATATTAATCTGCAGTGTATATATACGAAGAATTTTTTCTAGTAGGATCAGAGTTGACTAACTGGTACTTGGTGTGGTACTAGGTTTATCGCATTTATGGCTTAGGGGCCGCGGTTTACCTCCCTCCGTTTAGTCATGCTGGATCAGGGGTAGTAAATTTTTTAATTTATTTTTATTTTTTTAAGGTCGTGGGTTCGATTCCCACACGAGCCATTTTTTTTAAAGGCAGTTTAGTTGACGGTGGATAATGGATAGCAAACATGGAGGTTGTGTGTTCGATTCCCACATGAACCATTTTTTTTTTCTTTAAGGCAGTTTAGTTGATGGTGGATAATGAATGTATTGTCTCAACGTCACAGTACGTTGTTGGCCCGACGTCGGTAAATGTTTGGAATGGATGTTGGTTACAATCCTTGGTCCGACATTGGTTAGAGGCTGTAAATATTAGGATGTGATTATAGACGTCGCAACGTCAGAGTACTTTGTTGAACCGACGTAGGTAAATGTTAGTGAAGGTTGGTTACAACCGTTGGGCCGACGTTGGTTAAAGGTTGTAAATATTAGATGTAATTAAAGACGTCGCAACGTCATAGAACTTTGTTGGCCCAACGTCGGTAAACGTTTGAAATAAACGTTGGTTACCACCGTTGGGCCGACGTTTGCCAGAGGTTGTAAATATTAAATATGATTACAGACCTTGTCTCAACGTCACAGAACGCTGTTGGCTCGACGTCGGTAAACGTTTGGAATGCAGGTTGGTTACAACCGTTGGTCCGACACTGGTTAGAGGTTGTAAATATTAGGATGTGATTATAGACGTTGTCCCAAGGTCACAGTACTTTGTTGGCCCGACGTCGGTAAACGTAAGTGAAGGTTAGTGACAACAGTTGTGCCGACGTTGGTTAGAAGTTGTAAATTTCAAACATTTACCGACGTCGGGCCAACAGAGTACTGTGATGTGACAACGTCTATAATCATACATAATATTTACAACCTCTAAGAAACGTCGGCCCAACGGTGGTACGCAACATCTATTTCAAACGTTTACCGATGTCGGGCCAACAAGGTACTTTGACGTTGCGACAACGTCTATAATTATATATATTATGGAGGTTGGTTACAACCATTTGGCCGACGTTGGTTAGAGGTTGTAAATATTAGATGTGATTATAGACGTGGTCTCAACGTCACAGTACGCTATTGGCCCAACGTCGGTAAACGTTTGAAATAGAGGTTGGTTACAACTGTTGATCCGACATTGGTAAGAGTTTGTAATAAATATTAGGATGTGATTATAGACGTCACAACGTCACGGTACTTTGTTGGCCCGACGTCGGTAAACGTTAGTGGAGGTTGGTGACAACAGTTGGGCCGACGTTGGTTAGAGGTTGTAAAATTCAAACGTTTACCGACGTCGGGCCAAAAAAAAAGAAGAAAAAAAAATGGTTCGTGTGGGAATCGAACACACAACCACCAGGTTTGCTATTCATTATCCCCTATCAACTAAACTGCCTTAAAAAAAAGTGGTTCGTGTGGGAATCGAACACACAACCACCAGGTTTTGCTATTCATTATCCGCCATCAACTAAACTGCCTTAAAAAAAATAAAATAAAAATTGGTTTGTGTGAGAATCGAACACACAACCTCCAGTTTTGCTATTCATTATCCACCATCAACTAAACTGCTTTAAAAAAAAAAAAAAAAATGGTTCGTTTGGGAATTGAACATACAACCACCAGGTTTCCCGTAACATGATTAGTCTATTTTTTCCCTAATTTGCATAATGAATATTTCAAACATTTTTGTCTATTTAAAAACAAGTTCCTAAGTTATGCAGATGGTAACAATCAAAAATCGATTATAAATTTAATTCTACATTTTTAGACAAAAAATAAACCCTCTAGGCCCACGGACCATTTTTGAGACCATGACCATGCGTAATATTAATCTGCAGTGTATATATACGAAGATTTTTTTCTAGTAGGGTCAGAGTTGACTAATTGGTACTTGGTGTGGTACTAGGTTTATCGCATTTATGACTTAGGGGCCGCGGTTTACCTCCCTCCGTTTAGTCATGCTGGATCAGGGGTAGTAAACTTGGCGATCGTGGGTTCGATTCCCACACGGGGCAAGATTTTTTTTTTTATTTTTATTTTTTAAGGTCGTGGGTTCGATTCCCACACGAGCCATTTTTTTAAGGCAGTTTAGTTAATGAATAGCAAACATGGAGGTTGTGTGTTCGATTCCCACACGAACCAATTTTTTTCCTTTAAGGCAGTTTAGTTGATGGTGGATAATGAATGTATTGTACTCGTTGATGACGTCGCGAAATAACAACAAACAACAACGTGTCATGTCCGAGCCTAGGCCGTCATGGAAGCTCACTGGCTCCTGTGTAACTCATGTTGAGCCAACAGCAGACGAAAAGGTTACATTTTTTCAGAGATAAGCTGGAAGAAAGTTTTAGACAGTGCCCATCAATGGAAGGATTTTAATACTGAGGAATGGAAGTTAGCGAAGTCCTTGGCTTGCTTAACCGTTTTTCTTCGATCGTCGCTTCCAACCGTCTAGGCGCGTCTAGCCTAAAGAGGGCCTATATAGCAGGTCGAGATCCATGAAAAATCGTATATAAAGATGTGGGTTACCCACATCATTATAT